CATGTTTATAGCAGCACTAACAACAATAGCCAAAGTATGGAAAGAGCCCAAATGCCCATCAATGGATGAATGGATAAAGAAGAGGTGGTATATATATACAATGGAGTATTACTCGGCAATCAAAAAGAATGAAATCTTGCCACTTGCAACTACATGGATGGAACTAGAGGGTATTATGCTAAGCGAAATTAGTCAGAGAAAGACAAAAATCATACGACTTCACTCATATGAGACTTTAAGATACAGAACAGATGAACACAAGGCAAGGGAAACAAAAATAATATAAAAACAGGGAGGAGGACAAAATAGAAGAGACTCACAAATATGGAGAACAAACAGAGGGTTACTGGAGGGGTTGTGAGAGGAGGGGATGGGCTCAAAGGGTAAGGGTAAGGGTATCTACGCCTGAAATCATTGTTGCACTATATGCTAACTTGGTTGTAAATTAAAAAAAAAAAAAAAAAGAGTCCGTTATGGGGTTCCTGGGTGGCTCAGTCAGTTAAGCGTCTGACTTCAGCTCAGGTCATGAGCTCATGTTCCATGAGTTCAAGCCCCGTGTCAGGCTCTGTGCTGATAGCTCAGAGCTCGGAGCCTGCTTCGGATTCTGTGCCTCCCTCTCTCTCTGCCCCTCCCCTGCTAATGCTCTCTCTTACTCTTGAAATAAATAAACATTAAAAAAAATAATAAAGCCAGATACTTAACTGACTGAGCCACCCAGGTACCCTGACGTGAAAGGTTTTAAAAGCCAAGTTACCAAGCAAAATTGAATGTGAAAACTAAAGACCTAGGTCTAGTTGCAGTGACTGCTCTACCTTGCAATAGCTATGGGACCTTATGCAAGCTTCTTGACTTTTCTGGACCTTAGTTCCCTTGTCTACAGAAGAAGCCTGCACTAGATTATCAGGTGGCATTCTGAGAGTCACAGAGCTCTAAGGAGGGCCTGGCCTGACCACATGAGAGTCAGTGATCACTCGATCACTGTATTTAATTGTATTTGACAGTTAAAACCAAACAGGACCAGCTCAGCCACAAGTGGGACTTGGCCCCTACCCCTCTCTCCCAGCACGCTCCTCTTTCCATTCTCAGCTCACATCTGCGTGCCTCTTAATTCACTGCAGTGAAGTGCACACCCTATACTACAACTCCTTTAAATCTTGAATCCATAGGCATTCCCATTTTACAGATAGAAAAATTGAGGTTCAGAGGAGTTTAAGTCACTCACCCGAAGTCATAAGGCTAATAAATGGTAGAGCTGAGACTTCCTATCCCATTTTCCCATCTGACTAAAGCATTTCATCTTTCCAGTTTACAGCTCTCCAGGACTCCCAACCCAGCACTGTTTTCACTGCACCACACATTGAGAACTTGGTCTCTGCCCCACTGGATCTTCTGCTCCTCCTCCCACTCTCTCCTCAGTATCTAACCCTGAACCAGGCAGGAGGCTTTCCTTACAGCCTGCCCCTTCCACCCCAGCTGCTTAGCGTGAGCACACATTTCTGCGCCACTCCCTCCCTCCCCCTCTGCTGGCTGTTTGTGAAAGTTTGGGCTGTAGGGTGGAATAAGCCCTGTAATTTATTTCTGATGCAGGAAATTTGAATATTAGCTAAATCACAACAGGAAACCAGCCATTCAGGAGTAATGCAATCAAACACTTCACTCAGTCCAAACATACCTGCAGAAGGGAAACCGATCCCAGCCGTCTCTGAGTCTAAAGGAATCGCTAAGCTCGTTGTCTTCCAGCACAGGCACTTCATGCACTATTTTCAGGACAAAGGTTCTTGTTTGAACATTAAGCCTTTCTAACTTGGTCTCAGCTAAAAGGCACTAACACAGAGATCCCACTCACTGAGACTCCTCCTCAGGAAGGGGGCACAGTCCTAAAATGAGGAGCAGGCAGGGCATGACAACTCAGGAGTGCTTCAGACACCTTCTCTGACCTCGCTGCTATGGAGGGGGAGGGGTGCGGCCCAAGGGAGGGGCCACAAGGAAGGCGGCTGACTGACTGTTCAGGGCTCCCTTGTGCCCTCTGCCAAGGCATGGAAAAGCCAGGCTGAACCAGGGCTGGGTGGGCAGGAATGTTTGTGAAGGACGCCAGAATTGCTGAGAAATGGATCCCGGTGTCTTACATTCTTAAACTTTCTGTAAAGAATGTAATCGGGCTAGGAGTATTTAAACCACCCTATAGCATCTGGTGACTCAGTCGGTTAAGGGTCTGACTCTTGATTTAGCTTAGGTCATGATCTCATTGTCATGAGATGGAGCCCCATGTCCGGCTCTGCACTGAGCATGGAGCCTGCTTAGGATGCTCTCTCCCCACCCCTCTGCCCCTCCCCCACCCCTCTCTCTAAGTAAAGAAATACATACATACATACATACATACATACATACATACATACAATAAGCCACCCCATGGGTGAGGAATGCAGGATGAAAGGGAAAGGATGATGAATTCATTTTGAATTGTTTTAAAAAGGGGAGGTTGTTTCCAATCAGATGTATTTGTTATAATAGAAACCATGGGTAAGAATGGCTTAGGTAATCTTGGTACTTCTTGTCTCACAGAACAGACAATGGGAGGTAGGAGTTATCATGGCTGGTCCATGTAGCAGTATCTTCAAAACCCAGGCATCTTTTGCCTTTTACCTTTTCCATCTTTAGTGTCTTAGCTTTTTTTGTTCTTCCTCATGCATGTTGCCTCGCTCATTATAAAGTGGCTGCCGCTGTAGCAAGGTTACATCCCCACACAACTTATTGAAGGCAGGGCACAAAGGAGTAGTCCTGGCAGAGATTTTCTTCTCATAAGCCTTACTCTCAGCAGTGAGGAAAAAACATTTCCCCGTAAGACCCAACAGGCTTTGCTTTATGTATTTTTTTTAGCCAAACTGGGCCACTTAGCCGCTTCTAGCTACAAGGGAGTCTGAGAAAGCAAGCATGTGGCTTTCCCAACTTCTATCATTGAAGCGGGCAAGGGCTGGGAATGGCTTTGGAGTAGACAACTAAGAGTATCTGCCATAGGGATAAATAGAAGTGTGGCCAGAAATAAAAATAAAAACAAAATTTTTTCACCTAAGTCCAAAGATGAAAGTTTTAGGGGTGCCTGGGTGGCTCAGTCGGTTGAGCGTCCAACTTCGGGCCAGGTCTAGATCTCACAGTTCGTCAGTTTGAGCCCCACGTTGGGCTCTGTTCTAACAGCTCAGAGCCTGGAGCCTGCTTCGAATTCTGTGTCTCCCTCTCTCTCTCTGCCCTCCCCCACTTGTGCTCTGTCTCTCTCTCTTAAAAATAAATAAACATTTAAAACATTTTAAAAAGAGATCAAAGTTTTAAAATATATCAACAGTTTTAGTAAAAAAAGAAAGATAAGAAAGAAAGCAAGAAAAAATTTTTGTATGTAAACATCTGCATTATCTAAAAGAAAAAAAGACAGGCCTGGCTGCATATTTTACTTCCATACACAGTTAAAAAAAAAAAAAAAAAGTGAGGCAACTTCAGAATTCTACATTCCTCTGACCCAATTTATCCCAGAGAAAATCACGGATCTGTATAAAGTTGTATATGTACATGTATATGTATAAATGTATACGGATGTTCACCACCTATTGTTTGCAATAGCAACAAGTTGGAACAACTAGGCACCCCTACTTCACAATGCTCTGCCAGGCACCAAAGTCAAGTACAAAATTGGTCTGGAAAGGAGAACCGACCTCTCCCTTTGTGTTCCCCTCTGTGTGGTTTGCATCCCAACATGGGCAAGGGTGTGTGAAACCATTCAAGGTCTACCTTCCCCTTTGCTCTGCCTGGTAGGGTTTGTGTAGTGGCTTCCATGCTACATTCAAAATCTCTGCCCAAACCTATCACTTGGGTCAGACCTATCAGATCTGTCTCCTCCTTGCCTCAGGGCTGATTCTCTCCCAGGAGACCCCAGGCTAAGAAATTTCAGTTGAGTCATGGTGAGTCATGACCCAGCCAATCCTAAAGGCCAGTGGTAGGGCCTAAGCTCAAACTGAGCTCCCTGTTGCAAATGATAACCAGTCTGAATCCCACCTGGTGCAAGGAGGGACTTTTAAGGCAGAGGACCAGCGAGTCTGCACCCTCAAACTCTCAATCTAGTTGCGGGAACAACAGGACCAGATCTACTGGGACCCAGGGTTCTCCTTAGAGCAGTGATACGCTGTGGCGCTAAAGCTACTTGACTTTGCTACTCATAGAACCAAATAGGAATTATTCATTATTGGGATTGGGATTTGTTTATTAGCCTTAAAAGGCTAATGATAATGACAACGGATGTTAAACCTGTAAGTATAATTAAGGTGAACTGACTTTAACTTACTCCTAATGTTGTAGGAAGAGTAAAACTCTCTTACTTGTTAAGGAAGCACAAAAATCTATTTCCCAGCCAATGAACATGCCAGATACTAAGACTGTTTATAAATCTACACTAAAAATTTGGATGACCAGCCTGTAAGAGGGAACTGAAACCTATATAATGATGAAATTGTTAAAGGTGACATGGGAAGAAGCCCATAGCTCAGCCTTGGAGGAGCTATTGACTCTGAGGTCACTCCAGCTAATGGAAATGTTGAAATTTTAATGCTAAGCAGAAGCTTGGAGATAATAGCTTCAATTCCTGAGTGCTTACTATGTGCTGGGTCTATTTTAAGTGTTCTGCGTATTTCTACAACGACACAAGAAGTCCATACTGTTGTTCCTCCCAGTTGCACATTTAACCTGCCAAAGTCATCCAGCCAGTAAATGCTAGAGCCAGGATTTGAACCCAAGTGGTTTGGCTCTAAAGCCTGTGTTCTTCCACACCTCACCATAGCAGAGTCCCATACCTGGAGGTACTTCCTGTGAGTTGCAAGGGAGTTAACTGAGGCAAGATGGACTTAGTGTTCATAGGATGGAGTATCATTTAATGACCCCTAGCTCTCAAGAAACCTGCTCCCCACACCTGAATTGTTAAAATATCCTGCCCTGACCATAGATATCACCTTCCCCAGACAGAGGTGGATGGGAGCCTCAGGTATCCAGGGCCAAAGGAATGGCGTGATCCGTTCTGGTACAACAGACAAGAGCTAGTACCTTCCCCTCCACTCTCAGATCCTCTCAGAATGGGCCAGAGGGTAAGTGCTGTCTTTCTGCCATTTCTGACCCTCCCCTCTCCACCACCCCTCCCCCAAAGTGATGGATGAGCAAATAACAATCACAGGTAACTCTGTGACTAGTCCAGGGCTCCTGATACTTCATAAAAATGTGTGGCTTTGTCAGTTGCTTCATAAGTGCTCAGCATCCCTCTATGGAAAGAGGCTTTTCCTCTTTCAGTTGGTACCAAAGTGCAGGGCTTTCCCTTACGGTACTGTCACCTAGACTTTCATTTCTGTACAACCAGCCAGGGGTGAAATTGCCCAAGGGAGTTTGCCTTTCTAAAGGGTCAGTGCTGAGCAGGAAGTTCTTCTGTGTGTCCAGAGGCCTCCCTTCCGCCCAGTAGCCCAAGCTAATCTGGAAACAGCATCGTTCTTCTTTAAAATCTACCTCCTTAAAAAAAAATGAGGTTAGAGTGGGAGAGAGCCAAAGCATAAGAGACTCTTAAAAACTGAGAACAAACTGAGGGTTGATGGGGGGGTGGGAGGGAGGGAAGGGTAGGTGATGGGCATTGAAGAGGGCATCTTTTGGGATGAGCACTGGGTGTTGTATGGAAACCAATTTGACAATAAATTTCATATATTAAAAAAAGAAAAAAAGAAAAAATCTACCTCCTTAATTCCCACAGTGAAGGAGCAGCCTCTGAGCAGAGAAACCAGTGGCTCAAGGGCTCCACCATGAGGAAATCAGGAAATGAGACCTCTGGCAAAACATCGTGATCTTGCACCTGCAGGCAGTCGAAGGTGCAGATGGGGAACAGAAGGCCAGTGGGGCAGCCAGGTCACAGTTGTCCAGCAAGAAAGGGGACTTGGTACCGTGTGCCCCCCCACCTTCCGCCACAGTCACTTCTGCTTCACCCAACCTCAGGGAAGGCGGGGGGCCACGACAGCCTCCTTTGTCTTTTTCCAGCTCTGTGCAGGACACATGGGGGCTGGCAACTCTGAGCTTTACGCTGGTAGCAGCTGGCAAGATGCTGAAGCTATTCTTCCCTTGTGGAGAATTAGATGGAATTAGCTTTGCTAAATTCCCATCAGCCCTGCCCACCAAATGCCCCACTGACTACAGCAGAGCCGCCCGGAAGCTGAGGGTAGGATGTGGCAGTGTCTGACCCTCACCTCCACGGGCTTCTCCCCTGCAGCCTGAGCAGTGCCTGCAGCTGCTGACCCTCATCTAAGGCTGCACAGCCCTTTGAGGTGGTTTGGGACCCACCGCCCATGGGACCTGGGACTCTGCTCATCAGAGCTGCAGAGATGTCTTTATCAGGGGAGTCTAGGAAAAGCATGAACTGTATCAAACCAAACTGGCAGAATCCTGGCTTTATCAGTACCACTTTAAGCAAGGAGTAGATAAGGAGTAAACCCTCTCTGAAAGTCACCTTGAAAATAGAGGAAATAACTCTTTAATGTGTGTCTACCCCACTATACTCCATGAGGCAGACGTCAGGTCTGTTTTTTTCATAGTTTGATCTCCGGCACCTGGCACAGTGTCTGACATTTAGGATACACTCAATAAATATTTTTGAAGGATTGAAGGAAAAATAAGTTACAATAGGATTAAGAGCATAAAATGATGTGATATATGTAAAGCAAACAGGGCACATGTGCTCTGTAAATGACAGTTTCTAGCGACCAGCTTATTCTGATTACATGAAACCAGGCTTCATGATTCAACTAATAATGACTGTCATTCATTCATTCATTGAGGAAATACTGATAAACTGCTACGTCCACATGGAAAACACAAATGTGAAAAAAAAAAAACCAACTTCTCATCTGAAAGTGGCTCAGTTAAATGTTAGCCAGATATAGAGAGCTATGAGCACACAGAGGAAGGACTTTCCCAGAGGATGGATGAGTAGAGGCCAGCCAGTAAAGAAGGTAGGAGCAGAGAAAAAATCTGAAAGGGAAAAAACTCTGTGTCAAACTCTATGGCCCATCGATGAGCCATAGAGATAAGTTCCTAGAGATAAGTATAATTGTATCACACACAGGAGAGATGCTTGGAACAGATTTTTACTCAACTGTTTTCTCAGAGACGTAAAGGTTGATTGTGTCTGGATGTTGCCTTCAGTGGGTTTGACTCCCTGTTAGCCACATGAAGGACGGTGTACATCCTCTGGAATTTGGGACTCTAAACCTAGAGACCCAAACCAACAGATGACAAGAATTAGAGGCACATGCTCCCCTATCATCTGAAATTTAAACAAATTGAAGCAAGTATGTCTTTGTTTGCTACCACTTTATAACCTGAGTTCCGAGAAGGACTTCTTGGGGAGCTCTGATCTGGACACCTCAACATTTTAGACATGAGAGATTTGGTTTCAGGTTTCCAAAATTGTCATATGCAACCACTGCCAGGATATGCCATTCTGAGTTCCACCTGTACTATTACTTTATCTAATTCTTTAAAATTTACTTTTTACTTAAAGCAATATTTTTGAAGATATATATCCCAAATATGATTAGAAAATAAGTATCAATTGCCCTTGCAGCTCTGATGTCTTCAAACCTTATTGCCAATCCAACCAGGCCTCAGCAGGTAAGCCCTCTCTGCCCCCTCCATTAAGTGATGTTTAAACACAATTCCCAGCAGGCTTTGGGGGAGAACAAGTGAAGCTCTAAATTGACACCTGCCAACAGAGTGTGTTAGGAAAGCGTAGAGGTCAAGGAGATCTATCCCATGAAAAATATCACCAACAGTAGGAATAGAAACCTGGGTGCACTCAGCGAAAAGATGATGGGATTTAAAGCCATAACACCTGCCTCTTTTACTAGTTGTGCGGTCTCAGGCAAGTAACTTAACCTGAGCCTCAGGTCCCTTTTTAATATTATTGGGACATGGCAATTTCTTATAAAATGAGTGAACCAACGAAGTGGTTAGAGTAATAGGATTGCAAAATCACCTTACAAGCACTAAAGTATGTACAAATACTTATTATCTCACTGGGAATTAAGTTTTTGCACAGAATTTGGACACTATCATGAACAATGAGAGAATATCAAGAACATACCCCTTGGCCTTTACTCAGACAAACTGGAGGATGCTCTTGTTTCCCGTGATGTGGAAACATGCTAACCTGGAGAAATGAGCAGAGCAGATGTGGTTTGAGTGCTGGCACAGTGTGCAGAAAGCCCAGGTGCTCAAGGCTCCTAGAAAGGTCCCATAAAACAAGGACAGCTGTTTTTCTTATTACAGGATGACCATGCAGATCGTGGACACCACATTCATTGGTAACAACCCTGCTCTTCTAAAACTCACAACTCCACTGTGCCTCCCTCTCCTCTTCACCTCGCCCTCTCCACAGTACGTCAGTTTCACTGAACACTTCACCTGGCTCTCAGGGGCCTCTCCAGGAGCAAACCCTGGGCTCTCAGCTTCTTGACTGATACATACCCGGACGCCCTGGTTCTTCCCAATTCCTTTTTTGTTTCCAGGGGCTAATTTTTGTTCTACCTAGGGTCCTTTGGGTTGCAAATCAGGAGACTTACACTATCTTAGGCAAAAAGTAGTCATTTATTAACCTTTATAGAAGATAATGAAAAATTGCAAAGAATGGGGATATCGTTAGGCTTTGGGGGGAGCTGGAACTAGGACTTTTTCTCTAGCTTTGTCCTTCGAATAAAAGTGCTTCTGTGCCTTTAGTTTCATTTAGACATGACTTAGGTAAGGATGTGGCTCCCTCCTGGATCGCCTGCCTTACCCCGGGCCGAGACAGATAGGAGTACGCATTTGGCTTGGCAGCCGTGGGAACCCCACGCGGTGGGAAAGGGAACAGCAGCTCCCACAAGTAAGTGGCTCTTATTCCCAGAAGGGAGGGGAATGTGGGTGATGGGCATTAGGGCACCTGTTGGGATGAGGACTGGATGTTGTATGGAAATCAATTTGACAATAAAGTATATTTAATATTTAAAAAAAAGAACAGCTAATGTCCTCAATCGCTCTCTGATTGCAAGGACTCCACAGGACAGAAATCATGCACAGACACTTGTATATTGAGTTATACTGTGGCTTCTTAGGTTCTAGATTTAGGACTCCTCTAATTGTCATATTTTTCAGCCCAGAATATCGCTCGTGGGCCCACAATTCACAAAGAAAAAGCAGATGACAAAGGCACCTTCTTGGGGAGTGAGGGTAGTAGCAGAAGGTGGGCATAGTGTGGAAAAGCAATTGTGGAGAATGGAGAACAAGTTTACCAGGAAATTGTACTAGAGTTATCAGATAGTGCTGAGGTGCTATAAACTGAATGCTGTGTCCCACCAAAATTCATGTTGAAACCTAATCCCCAGTGGGCTGATGTTTGGAGGTGGAGCCTGGGTGACTGGATCATGAATAGGGTTAGGGCCCTTATGAAAGAGACCTCAGAGAGCTCCCTCACCCTTCTTCCATGTGAGTACATAGTGAGTAGACAACTGTTTATGAACCAGGAAGCGAGACTCACGGGACACCGAATCTGTCAGCACCTTGATTTCTCAGCCTCCACAACTGTGAGAAGTAAATGCCTAGTTTCAGCCCCCGAGTTTATAGTAGTTTTCAATAGCAGCCCCAACGGACTAAGACAGTAGGTAAATGTTTACATGGATTTATAGTAAGGAGATCCAATTTGTCTTACGTGTCCTTTTCTCTAGCAGCATTTGGCTGCTTATTGAGGAAAATATGGAAAAACTGATTGTCGTCATGTTTGTAACAGGGTGGGGAAATCTCCTTGACTTTTCTATGTATGGTATAAATGCAGAAGAGGAACAGAGTTCAGGGTATTGGTAAAGTACACATGTTACCCCTAGTAATATTATGTATTGTGGAATCTCAGCTGGATATAAAGAGACATGGATTAGGTGAAGGCAGATGAGAGGGAGGACTGGGGGAATCCCACTTATGTCAAAAGAACAGTGTGTGTGTGTGTGTGTGTGTGTGTGTGTGTGTGTGTGTGTGAGAGAGAGAGAGAGAGAGAGAGAGAGAGAGAGTTGAACAAAGTAATACCAATATGTATTTATCTGTATGCACAAAGAGAAAACATATACATTTCTTAATTAGGGTAGCCCCTTCACTTATAAAGAAATACTCTTACTCAAAAAGGACACACACAAAATGATGTAGCTATGATACAGTTTATTTCAACACACTAACCCCCAAAAATAACAAAACAACCTATTTCTTTGGGGAAAAAAACCCCCAACATTCTACATATTCAGGGTTGGCTTGATTGACCACAATGCATTTTAGCAAAAAGACTTAGGTACACCACACCTAATAAAGCTCTCTATATACACAGTAAATACCAAATAGCTTTGCTAAATTACCAGACATTTGGAAAAAAACAAAACATTATTATAAAAGAATCAAATGCACTAAGTTAACAATCTTGTGAACTTAGAAAAAGACTTGAATTGTTGTATTTTTATCTGTACAAAAAAATCAATCTCTATCCTTCCATTTTTACCTATATTTTCCTTAGGCCCCAAATTTGAAAGCTTAAATCCTTTCTTTCTAAGGCCCTGGGAATATCAAGTTTTCCTTCAAATTTACGGTCATCTAAAAAGGAGATTATCTAAAGGCTGGGAAAAACAAAGAAAAACTAGATTTCACTTCTGTACCACTCATGCAGATTCCACTGAGAAGAGCTCCTGAGTTGGCTACCAATTCATGCAATTTAGTTCAAAAACATAATACCTGATTATAGGACTAAACTGGCTTTTATGCAGCTCAGGAACAGATTTCTTTATCACTGAAAATCAGTTAGCGACATTAAGCCCTTAGCTTAATCCATGCAAATGCAGTATGGGAATTCTATGACATGGAAGTTAGCATATTTAAATGTAAAATGCAAAGTTATGAATATTAAATGTGTTTTAAATATGCAAACTGCTATGTTTTCTCAATACAGTTGACCCTTGAAGAACATGGGTTTGACCTGCACAGGCCCACGTATATGTGGATTTTTTTCAATAAATAGAGTATAGTACTGTAAGTGTATTTCTCTTCCTTATGATTTTCTTAAAAACATCTTTTCTCTAACTCACTTTATTGTAAGAATACAGTACACAATACATATAACACACATAATATGTGCTAATCAACTTGTTTGTGTTATTGGTAAGGCTTCCAGTCAACAGTAGGCTATTAATAGTTAACTTGTGGGGCAGTCAAAGGTTACATGTGGATTTTCAACCCTGCGGGGGTTTGGTGCCCCTAAGTCCCATGTTGTTCAAGGGCCAACTGTAATCACTTTTTATGAATAAAAAATAAAATGTCAAAAGAAGAAGAAAATGTTGATATTCCAAAATGAGACACTAAGACATGACTCGAGTAAGCCATAAGTAAAAACAATTGTTTATTATTGTGTGTAACTGAACAACAAAATAGCCTTGTCTGAAAGCACTGAGTCAAACTGTCTTCCCAAGTCCTTCCAAGTCATGATTCTACATACTACAATGAAGTTATTTTTAATAAGTGCTGTCATGAACTACAAGTTTTTACATTCCTAAATAACAAACTTAACTTTACTATAGCAATGACTTAAGTACATGTGCTATTAAAAAAAACTTGTAAACATACTCTGAATTCCTTTACCTGTGAGATAGTATTAAAAGGCAATTCCTCAATTTCTTCATTCCTTAAGAACTAGGAACCAAAATACTAAACATAATAAATAAATATGCAACCTGAAGGCCTGGAAAAGGATATAGAACACTGAATATAATAAACCAGTGTATTAAAAATCCAGTATTTCAGTATTAAAACTTCTTCATCTCAACAGTTAGGTTTATTGCTACTATAAATAAGCTTCATATTAAGGCACCTGTCATTACCTATGAGAAAGATCTGGATTCAAAACAAAGGGAATATGCACTGAAAACTTTTTCTTTCATTCCAATATTATTGCAGATATTCTCAATTTATAATGTTAAGTGTTTCTACAGTAGTATACACATCTTTGAGCATACTACCTGAATATAGGTAAATAATTTACATAATACCTTAATAAAGTACATGATACCTGAATGAGAAAATAGGCAAAATCACATCAAGATGGATGTAAAGGACTAACTACAAGAAAGATGATAATCTCTAGGGAAAAAGAATTCTACTGCAAAGGACGGTGATAAGAGCCCACCTTGGCCAAGTCATTTAACTTCCCTGAGCCTCACTCTCTCCTAGCAGTAAAATGTCAATATTAGCTGTCAAGCTTATAAGGCTGTTGAGTGATCACGTGATATGATGTAAAACCAGCTGGCCAACCATGAAGCACTGAACAAACTGAACAAATGGCACTGTCATAGGCCGAAATATCACAGGCTTCTGACAGTTTCCCTAACAAGGTTATGGCCTGGTCCTCTTGCATCCACTTGAGAACTCCCATTTTTAGTCATTAGAACGTTGCTGAATGAATGGAGCAAAAACTTATGCAAAGTGCAAAATCTCTAAATTCTAGGTTGCAGAATGTTATAAAGCAGTTTGCTGTTAAGTGGGGAACCACACTGTTTTGGGGGCTCAGGCTACCTCTTGGCTCTTCCTAACGATAAAGAGGGGTCCATGGCCTTTCCTCACTGTCTCCTCTGCAGAAACCTTTGTCTCCCTTGCCATCTGCTATTGTGCAGGATGCATAGTTCCTGTTAACAGCATAAAAGAGTTTGAAGAGTATTAAAGAAGCACAGCTGAGGTCAGTCTCAGGTACGTTACTCAGCTCGGCACAAATATGAATGGTTTAGTAAATCCCTCCAGGTCTCCTTTGCCTAGTCCACAAGTCCTTCCTCTGTGTACAAAATGGTTCTAGGGCAGCCTTTTCCAAACTATATTCAGAGGAATACTAGTTAGGTGAGATGTTAACAGGTAAACTACAGACCTTTGTTAAGTAAGTCTGGGATATGCAGGGAGAAGTAAGTTTTATGTCCTGAAGAATTTCTCTCTTTGATGTACTGACTATATACTTCAAAGAGGAAGAAGGGAGGATAGCATTTCCCAGGTTCATCTGACCACAGAATCCCATTTTTCCCCACAAAATATCTAGAGGGGCTCACAGCTTTTAGAACATTCTTGGGGAAATGCTATTCTAGCTAATTCACCCAGGGTTTAAACATTTCAGGGCTAGCTATGTCTGGCAATTGTTACCTTTTTGATTTCTAAAGGAGCAAAATCATTTTACTTACAAGGTCAACTGCCAGGCTGATCTCCCGAATTTCACTTCATAAGTGTCCTGCCCAAAGCAACTGAGAACTAAATTTCCTTTACTACATGCTGAGGAATTTGAAGAAGCAATTCTCAAGTTAATGAGAATTATAATTTTTAAATGAAATCTTTATATTCTCCCTCAAACATTAAAATATAAAGATCTAATTCTAGATCTTAGAACCTAGAATCAAAATTACTTTGAGGACAGGGGAGAATTTTATCACAACATCACCATAATTAAGACTGTTAATAAGTAGTAATGGTGGTGGTCGTGGCTAAGCACCTATTTTGTGGCTCAATCCTCATATCCACATGATAAATTTAGGAGCTACTATTACACCCACTTTAAGGATACATACAGTGAGATTTAGAGAGATTAACTGACTTTCCAAGGGTCACACAAAGCAGTAAGGGCAGAATCTCAAATCTGACCCCTCACCTCATGCTCTTAATCACTACATAACACCATCTTATATTTTCGTGACAAAACAATAGAATTGAAGTCACATCCTGAATGTCAAATGGGAAAATTAGAGTGTATTTCTATAAATCCAACTTATTGAAATTTGGTTTTGGATTTCCTTTTAAGCAAACTTTTGTTGCCTAAGGGAGCTACTTTGTTTTTTTGTTTTGTTTTGTTTTTTTTGTTTTTTAAAGCAGAGAAAAACAGACTGCTATTTACCAGTGATAGGTTTATCTATGGGGAGAGTTCTAAAAATCTGCATCCAGGGTGAAGACGTTATCTGTAGTTTCTGCCATAACTGCAAAACGTTGATACTCTGCAACTCGTTTCTCAAAGAAATTTGTTTTCCCTTCCAAAGAAATGTTTTCCATAAAATCAAAGGGATTTTCTGCCTGAAAAACCTAAAAAGAAAAGAAGTGTTATTAGACATTCTGAAGAAGCCAAATTACATCCATAAGAACAACAACACATAACAAGGCTTCTCATTAAATACAACTTAAGCTTACATTTCCATGCTAACAAGTTAAAACCTATAATTTCTAATTACCATCGCATATACAGTACATTGTAAAGTTCCATGAATATCCAATTATGGTGAATACAACATGACCACTTAGTATGTATTTACTGTATGTCTGATAGTATTTTAAGTGCTTTATGTATGCCAACTCATCAACAATCCTTTCTGGTAAGTATTATTATTATCTCCCTTTCGTAGATGAGGAAATGAAGGTAGAGGTTAAACAACGTGCTTAAGGTCACAGAGCTAGAAAGTGGCAGAGCCAGGATTCAAACCCAGGTAGACTGGCTGCAGCCTCCACCTGTTATGTCATGTGAGAAGCACACGACTTTATGAAATTCAGGTATATTATCTCTGATAAAAAAAAAAATGAAAAATAACTTAAAAGGCAACTGAGTTCAAAGGACCAAATTATGACAGTTAATGTCTTCCTAATAACCATTTGTATTTAAAAGTATAAACGTTTGGATGCACCAATCTCACTAAATAAGTAAAAGGTAAACAGGTTTCTTTTTTATTTTTATAAGCTTATTTTATTTATTTTGAGAGAGAGAGAACACACATGGGAGGGACAGAGAGAAAGGGAGAGAGAGAGAGAACCCTAAGCAGGCACTGCACTATCAGCAGGGAGTCCAATGCGGGTCTCAAACTCACGAACCATGAGATCATGACCTGAGCCAAAATCAAGAGTCAAGACACTTAACCTACTGAGCCACTCAGGTGTCCCATAAGTTAAACAAGTCTTTAAAAAAAGTATTAATGCAAAAATTACAACACAGACCCATGAGGATTTATGAGGGTAACATATATATATACATATTAAATCCAATTAAAGATAATCCTATTAAATACCTGCAATTATTACAAGTAATTTATTGAACTTATTAATTCTAAGATTTATCAGCTTCTTCCTTCTGTTATGAATTTCAAGTTTCAAAGGATTTTGCAAAACAAATTTGTTCATGCAAAACAAGGCTGTCACAGTAATTTTATTTTATTTTATTTTATTTTTTCAACGTTTATTTATTTTTGGGACAGAGAGAGACAGAGCATGAACGGGGGAGGGGCAGAGAGAGAGGGAGACACAGAATCGGAAACAGGCTCCAGGCTCTGAGCCATCAGCCCAGAGCCCGACGCGGGGCTCGAACTCACGGACCGCGAGATCGTGACCTGGCTGAAGTCGGACGCCTAACCGACTGCGCCACCCAGGCGCCCCGTCACAGTAATTTTAAAAAGTAGACTGATGTGATACAAATGCTTTCAATGAAATATAGTATTTTAGTGGTCTTACTAACATTTTAGCTAGTAGTAAATTTTTAAACATCTTACCTTTGAGAATCCAAGTTCCACAAGTAATCTGTCAGCTACAAACTCAATATATTGTTTCATCAAAACACAATTCATTCCAATGAGGCCAACTGGCAAGGCTTCTGTTAGAAACTCCTGAGATACGAACAAAAACAGAATCAAGTACAAAGACAGAACAATAAATAAGTATTTTCCAAATAAAAACAGGGTATTAGTTTTAATCTTCTAAGTCCCTGAGGAAAGTTCACTAGGGTAAATTCTTTCAACATGGCAACATCCATTTGTTTAAAAATGTTTGGGGTTTTACTATTCACAGTATTTCACATTCTCAAATAGCCAAAGTAAACTGAAACTGTCAAATTACTTATATTTTACAAAGTAGGACCTAAATTCACAGACTTTCCAGAGAGAAAGAAGGGCATACTTTGTCCTGAAATATCCGGAAAAAGATTCACCAGAGATGATCACTGTGGGGAACATGGTTATGGAAGGGGATTAGGAAAGAGAGAAACACATTTAACAAAGAAAATGAGAAAGAGAAATGGATCTGGGGGTTAAACTGAACTCCAACTATATTGAAAGACAGTGGCAAAGTGTTAACCGAGAAAAAAACAAAAATACTAACCATTTGGATTTAGTTCTCAAAATGATTAAAAATACTAAAATGAATTTCATTCCTTTTCACCCCTCCCAATATGAAAACTATGGCTATTGAACTGTATGGTATTTTTTTTAAAGAGTCAAAAGTTTTAATTTTATTTTTAAACTAGTTCTTTCAAATGATAAAAACATTAAGTGGAACATCCAGGTCTTTGTAGTCAGAAATTTTTACATTCTATAAATTTTTACTATTTGTGAACTCATTGACTTGTTAATTCTATAAACGTTTGGTGCATGCTTCAAGCTAGATACACTGCTTGGTTTTGAAAATACAAAACAAAGAAGAAACTATCACTTCCCTCCAGTAGCTGAAAATCTAAAAAATATAAAGCTGAAATGATTAAAATAGTTTGCTATGGCACAGAATGTGACAGATCAAAGGGACAGAAAAAAAAAATCCTGAAATAGGTTTTAATATACATAAACTTTAATATATCACATTTACTTAGTAACCAAATTATAAACTGACATAATAATTGAAATGCATCATCTTTTCATAACATACATACATAAACCTTAATGTATAACATTTACTTATGAACCAAATTATAAATTGACATAAATACATAAACCTTAATGTATAACATTTACTTATGAACCAAATTATAAACTGACATAATAATTGAAATGCATCATCTTTTCGTACTGTCAGGTTGACTATATAAAATTACTGATATTTGCTTTGGCTTATAAGTGGCAATTTCAAATGAGTCAACCTAACACAATAATTACAAACATCAGAGAAAAAGAGATGTGCTAATCATATAAGCTACCCTGCTTACCTGCTCAATTTCAACAGCATTAACAATGATCTCCCTGACCCTTTCTTCTGATGGCTTATTTACTAAGTATTGAAACATCAGGCAAGCAAAGTCACAGTGAAGTCCCTAAAATAGAAGAAAAGTACCACTGTCAAAGAACGTCTAATTTTCACACAGTCATGTGTCAGGCATCATGTAAGTAGGTTCTAGGAATGCAACACAGAACTTATGGAAGATAAAAGAATTCACAGTACCAGGAACTACTTTCCTTCAAATCTCATTAAAATGCCAATTATAATAGCCTATCATGAAAATTTTTCAGTGCCAGCCAATCTTAATTCATAAACATGACAGATGAATTAATCAACAACAACAATAAAAATCTGCAACCAGGGGCGCCTGGGTGGCTCAGTTGGTTGAGCGTCCGACTTCAGCCAGGTCACGATCTCGCGGTTCGTGAGTTCGAGCCCCGCGTCGGGCTATGGGCTGATGGCTCGGAGCTTGGAGCCTGCTTCTGATTCTGTGTCTCCCTCTCTCTCTGACCCTCCCCCGTTCATGCTCTGTCTCTCTCTGTCTCAAAAATAAATAAACATTAAAAAAAATCTGCAACCAAAATCGTTTCAGAAAGGAAAACAAAGCAAGGGCTAGAATGAAAATTCATTAATTTCTAATGTATAAAAAAAATTAAAAATCATTGAAAATAATAAGTATTTAAAGAAAAAGGTGAGGGGTACGTGGGTGGCTCAGTTGGTTAAGTATCCAACTTTGGCTCAGGCCATAACCTCATGGCTCATGGGTTTGAGTCCCCTTTCTGGCTCTCTGCTTTCAGTGTAGAGCCTGCTTTAGATCCTCTGCCCCCCACCCCCACTTGTGTTCTCTCTCTCTCTCTCTCTCAAAAATAAACAAACATTAAAAATAATAACTAAAAAAATAAAGAAAAGATGAAACTCATGAGATTTCAGAAAGACATTTATTTATCTTAAATAAGAACAGCTCAAGATAAAAATAAATTTAGTGCAATGAAAATGGAGACTGAAGAATTAAGAAAACCATTTGAAGCTATACAAAGTAGAAATGACACTGCAGATAACCAAAGAAAATAAACTTGTGAGATACCTTGAGAACAGAATGGTTATGCAAATACAAGAAATCGTAGAGAGCTTTAAATAGAGAACAGAGCAAGGAGATCCAACCTACAGTGATCAGGATTCCAAAACACAGAACAGATGGTAAAAAGCTGAAAACAACAGGAGTAATTGCAAAAAGTCAAAAGAAAAAGAGAGAGAGGCTAGAGACAGAGAAAGATGATGCAGTGCCAAACAAAATTAAGCTAGAGACTGACCTCAAGGCAGAGTCAATGAACATTTCTAAACTGCAAAGAAAAAGAAATAATTTTGTAGGAGGAGGAGGGGCAGAAGGCAGAGGAAGGAATGTGCACTTTAAATCAGAGTTTACTTGGGTTTTTCTAAATAAATCAGCAAAAACCAAAGACAAATTAAAGATAAGACTCAAATCAAAGGTTGTATTCCAAGGATTATTTACCTAGTTATCATTCCCAGAAGAAACCATCAGAAAAAAGCCCCTTTGAACAGCTAATCTTAGATTTGCTAGTCAAACATTTTTCCCAGACTGGACTCAAGAGGATACTTCAAATTACCAAAGGCTGAATTTCAAATAAACTGTGAATGCTGTTACAGAAAGTGTTGATTAGAACTGAGAGCTAGCTACCTATTACAGAGATGAGGAAATCAAAGGTAGGCACTCATTCTGCTAAATCAATAAGTAGATAAAATTAATTTTGAGGTTTAAAGTAATTCCAATAAAAATTTCAATGGGATTGTTTCTAGTTAAAAAATTATGGAGCTCCTGGGTGGCTCAAATGGTCAAACATCTGACTCTTGGTTTCAGCTCAGGTCATGATCTCACAGTTCGTGAATTAGAGCCCCACATCCGGCTCTGCGCTGACAGTGTGGAGCCTGCTTGAGATTCTCTGTCTCCTTCTCTCTCTCTCTGCTCCTCCCCTGCTCTGCCTCTAATTCTGTCTCTCAAAAAAAAAAAAAACCAAAAAACAAAAACCAAAAACCCCACATTAAAAAAAAAATCTAATCTGAGGGGCACCTGAGTGGCTCAAACAGTTAAGTGTCTGACTCTTGGTTTCAGATCAAGTCAAGATTTCAAGGTTTGTGGGTTCAAGCCCCACCTGGTTTGGATTCTCTCTCGCGCTTGCTCGCTCTCTCTGCCCCTCCCCCGCTCACACACATACGGGTACTCTCTCTCAAAAAGTAAATAAACATTAAAAAAATTAATCTGAGACGAGAACTTAATTATTTGAGCTACCAAAAAGATATAATTATGTAATGTGATAGAGGTCCAAATTATTGTTACAATGGCAATCGTATCACAACAGAAAAATGTATAAAATTAATATGTTACATATCTTAAGTTTGCACAATATTGTATGTCAAATACATTTCAATTAAGAAACTAATCTGGGGTGCCTGGGTGGCTCAGTCGGTTAAGCATCTAACTTCAGCTCAGGTCATGATCTCATGGTTCATGAGTTCAAGCCCCACTTGGGGCTCTGTGCTGACATTTCAGAGCCTGGAGCCTGCTTTGGATTCTGTGTCTCCCTCTCTCTCTAGCCCTCCCTCACTTGCACTCCATCTCTCCCTCAAAAATAAATTAAGGAAACATTACAAACTTAAAAAAAAAATTAATCCTTAAGAATATATGGGCAGAATCTTATAAGAACAATTTTAATAGGATTTAAATTTTCAATAGGATTTAATGTTATGGGATTTATCCTAGTAGTTATCAAAACACAAAAAACAACAATAATTAAAATTGTTTGGCATGGAATTTGATAGATAGGTTAATGAAAAGAAAAAGTAGTCCCCAAACAGATTTTAGTACACTTAAAAACTTTAATATATAATAAAAAAGCCATCGCAAGTCAATGGAGAAAGATGAATTACTTAACAAAAAGAACTAGAAAAATTTCCTAAGAGTGTGTGAAATAAAGTTAAATTCTAACTTATCCTATTTTTGTACCAAATTCTATACTTATACTAGACAAATTCCAATTGTATTAAAGTTAAATGTTCAAAAGTCAAGAGGAAAATATGTGTGATTATTTAATTATCTCTGGAAGTGGATCACATCAATTTTACGGTTTTGTATGTTAAAAGAACAAATAAAATTGAAAAGCAAAGGACATGGCACAAAAACAGACACTCAGATCAATGAAACTGAACAGAGAACCCAGAAATGGACCCACAAACGTATGGCCAACTAATCTTTGACAAAGCAGGAAAGAATATCCAGTAGAATCAAGACAGTCTTTTCAGCAAGTGGTGCTGGGAAAATTGGACAACGACATGCAGAAAAATGAACCTGGACCACTTTCTTACACCATACACAAAAATAAACTCAAAATGGACGAAAGACCTCAATGTCAGACAGGAAGCCATCAAAATCCTCGAGGAGACAAAACAAGAACTATTGGGACCTAATCAAAATAAAATTTTTTTTAATGTTTATTTATTTTTGAGACAGAGGGAGACAGAGCGTGAGTGGGGGAGGGGCAGAGAGAGAGAGAGACACAGAATCTAAAACAGGCTCCAGGCTCTGAGCTGTCAGCACAGAGCCTGATGTGGGGCTTGAACCCACGAACCGTGAGATCATGACCTGAGCCAAAGTCGGACGCTTAACTGACTGAGCCACCCAGGCGCCCCTGGTGCCTGGACAAAATCAAAATAAAAAGCTTCTGCACAGCAAAGGAAACAATCAGCAAAACTAAAAGGCAACCAACAGAATGGGAGAAGATTATTTGTAAACGACATGTCAGATAAAGGGTTAGGATCCAAAATCTATAAAGAACTTATCAAACTCAACACCCAAAAAACAAATAATCCAGTGAAGAAATGGGCAAAAGACATGAATAGACACTTCTCCAAAGAAGACCTCTAGATGGCCAACCGACACATGAAAAAATGCTCAACATCACTCATCATCAGGGAAATACAAATCAAAACCACAAAACCACAAAACCACCTCACACCTGTCAGAATGGCTAACATTAACAACTCAGGCAACAACAGATGTTGGTGAGGATGTGGAGAAAGAGGATCTCTTTTGTACTGCTGGTGGGACTGCAAACTGGTACAGCCACTCTGGAAAATAGTATAGAGGTTCCTCAAAAAATTAAAAATAGAGCTACTCTATGAGCCAGCCATTGCACTACTAGGTATTTATCCAAGGGATACAGGTGTGCTGTTTCAAAGGGACACATGCACCCCCATGTTTATAGCAGCACTATCAACAATAGCCAAAGTATGGAAAGAGCCCAAATGTCCATTGATGGATGAATGGATAAATAAAATGTGGTATATATCTACAATGGAGTATTACTCGGCAATCAAAAAGAATGAAATCTTGCCACTTGCAACTACGTGGATGCAACTAGAGGGTATTATGCTAAGCGAAATTAGCCAGTCAGACAAAAACAAATATCATATGACCTCACTAATACAAAACAGATGAACATAAGGGAAGGGAAGCAAAAATAATATAAAAACAGGGAGGAGGACAAAACATAAGAGACTCTTAAATATGGAGAACAGAGGGTTACTGGAGGGGTTGTGGGGGGGGGGGGTGGGCTAAATGGGTAAGGGGCATTAAGGAATCTACTCCTGAAATCATTGTTGCACTATATGCTGACTTGGATGTAAATTTAAAAAATAATTATTATTATAATAAAGATAAATTTAAAAAAATTTAAAAAGCAAAGGATAAACTGGGAATGTATTTACAATAAATATGACAAAATTAATATTTTATATAATATTTATGCATAAATATAACAAATGCAAAAAACAAACACTTATTGAAAGAGCCCCATCAGTCACTGTGCATTGGGAATGTATATCAACAGAAATAGAGTCAAAAGACAAGAATAGATAAAAGGGAAAAAAAATAACAAATAACTAATATCATTATGAAAGAAAGTTCAATCTAAGTAGTAATCAAACAAATGCAAATAAAACCAAAAATAAGAAACCATTACCCCTATCAAATTTGTCAAATATTTAAAACAGGAATCCAAATTTTGGTGAGGTTATGGTAAGAAAAGACACATTCATACATTGCTGGGTAGGGCTTGCTATAAAATTTCTGGGAAGAAATCTGCAAATAAATATGGATAATCTTTAAATGTTTAAGCCTTATAATCTAGTAACTTTATGTATAGGCAGTCTAGCGTAGGAAAATCATATGAAATTGGGACAAAGCTCATATACAAAGACATTCATTTTGCATTATAGCAAAAGAACTAAACAAAAAAACCCAGAAATAACCTGAATTCCCAATTATAGAATAGTGAAATAATTGATACATTCCTTCATTAGAATATTATATATCTAACATAACCACTCTTTCTAAAATTCCTTAATTTCATAGAAAAATGCTCACAATATTCTAATAAATCTCAGCTCATAAAAATATGCAAAAAGCAGAGTATTTTAAATCATAAAATTATGATGTTCATATATATCTACATAGATTTAAATGTAGAAAATTGTCTAAAAAGAAATACAATGAAATACTAAACGTGGTTATCTCTGTGTTAAGATTGAGTGATTTTATTCTCTGACGTCTCTATAATCACCACATAAGACATTTATGATAAAAATTATTAGAAATTGAAAGACATGAAATAACAAAAATTATACAAAGCATTTTATGGCACTTAAAGAGTATTTTCACACATACTCGTTCATTTTATTTTAACAAAATCCTATCAAGGTTTATAGTGGAAGAAACTGAGGCTCAGAGAAGTTAACAACTTGACAGTGTCACTTAGAAATAAGCTGTCCTTAGATTCTCTGCCACTCTTATGTGGATCCTGAGAAACTTAACAGAAACCCATGGGGGAGGGGAAGGAAAAAAAAAAGAGGTTAGAGTGGGAGAGAGCCAAAGCATAAGAGACTCTTAAAAACTGAGAACAAACTGAGGGTTGATGGGGGGTGGGAGGGAGTGGAGGGTGGGTGATGGGTATTGAGGAGGGCACCTTTTGGGATGAGCACTGGGTGTTGTATGGAAACCAATTTGACAATAAATTTCATATACTGAAAAAGAAAAGAAAAGAAAAGAAAAGAAAAGAAAAGAAAAGAAAAGAA